ATCTAGTTCATGAAATCCACCACAGCTAATATTTTTCAATGAAAGGAGGTGTGGTTCACTCATGCTTGGTACAAGCACCGAATAAATTATCCCAAAGCAAATGCATAATCAATTATGTGTCACGTTTGTTAAAATCTTTCAGAATGATACCACTACTAATTTCATAGTTCTATTTGTGAATTTATGTTTGGAGAAGTTATCTTTAAATATCTATATTATCTGTTCAGTAGGTAATATATATGCTTTTACCATGCATTTTGATCCTGCTATTGTTCCTTTGATAGCTTATATCAATTGTGCTTCAGTATTTTTTAAGTGATCAGAGGCAGCCTCTCAGTTAGCCACACTAGGTCTAATAAATGTTAAAATAAAAATCCACCCTGCTTTTTAAATAATGGGCATTGTCTTTACTAGTGATGTTATTTTTCAGACACGCACATTAATGTTTTCAGACAATGCATCCTTTGTTATCAATAGAATGATTTTTTTGCGAAGTTCTGCATTTGGTCGATAGTAGACTTGTGCACATTGGAAAATATTGCTTTGGCCTAACCACTCAATTTTTCAGGGTGGAGGAATTTCGGCCATATAGCAGTTTGCCTCAGGAGAAGTTTGTTAATTAAATAAGATTCAGGAAGGCAAATCAAAAAAACATAAAGGGAGTAAAAATGGACCAATCACTGTACTGCAAACTATATACATTTTTATTATATTTTGAGGTACACTCAAAAAGTAACCGATAGAGGTAAAAAGAGGAGCAGTAAAAAACACAACTACATTTATATGTTATATATATTAAAAATACCATATATCATTATAGATTTTTTTTACTGTCTATTGTTCATTTCTCACTTGATCTATGAATAAAATCAGCATTTAGTAGCTATCAAACAATATATTTTCCCTATCAATCATCTCTTTTATTTACCTATCAATCATCTCTTTTATTGACCACACGCAGAAACTAACATGTCTGTCCTCTGAGCATTTTTTCTCATTTGTGATTCAGCTAACTTTTTGCTCAGAAATCAGGAATTCCGACAGTTACATGATCATCCCAAATTTGAATTAATTGCAGCTCAGAACAAAAAGATTCTCCAAGTCTAGTCAATATCATCAATACACCATAAAACAATATTTAACTTCTTTCTGTTATGTACATTTGTATTTACAACTTTTAAAATGTATAGTAAGAAGAAGCAACAACAAACAATAACACCCTTGCTGTACCTGTGTGTGAGTAGGAGCCTGGGTCATTGTTTCTAGTTGAGACTAGGTTTTGCTTGCTGTTATATCTATCTAGATACCTACTTGCAGGGACACATGAAACAAGTTTAAAGTGGCACTGCTACCCCTCTCAAAATGTGTATTTCATAAAGATGAAATCTTTATGAAATACTCATACTGACTCTATTGGAATTGTGCTTAAAGGGACACTATAGTCACCAGAACAACTACAGCTAATTGATTTTGTTCTGGTGAGTAGAATCATTACCTTCAGCTTTTTGCTGTAAAAACTGTCTTTACAGAGAAAATGCATTGTTTACATTACATCCTAGTGATAACTTCACTGGCCACCCCTCAGATGGCTGTTAGATATCCTTCCTGCTAAAATGCATCCAAACATTCAGTATCTCCTCCCTCTGCATGCAGACACTGAACTTTCCTCATAGAGATTCATTGATTCATTGACTCTATGAGGAGATGCTGATTGGCCAGGGCTGTGTTTGAATCATGCTGGCTCTGCCCCTGATCTGTCTCTTTGTCAGTCTCAGGCAATCCTATGGAGAAACATTGTGATTGGATCAAGCCACCAGTTCTGCTGATGTCAGAGGTCAGAGGCAGGTCAAAAGGAAACAGTGACAAACTATGCAGCTGCAGATTTGAATTGAAGTAAGATTTTACTATATTTGGGGGGGGGCAGGTGGTCTAGATGGTGGTTTTAACCCTATATGGTCAAGAATACATGTTTGTGTTCCTGACCCTATAGTGATCCTTTAAATTTTAACCTAGCCAAATGATATAGAAGGAAGTGAGTAGGGGGCGAGTGAAGGGACTTTTCACTAGTGCAAGTATGAAGCAACATTGTGGCGAAAGTGACCTCGCCACTGGGTTTTGTATAGGCCTTCTTGCCAGCCTCTTGCCCTGTGACTATGGCCCCTGTGTTGTATTGCCTTTTAAAAACACTATTTGTGTATTTTGCTCCTTTAAACTTTCGAAGTGGTCGAAGTGGAACTTCAAACTACCGAACAGCCGGACCAAACACAAGTGGAGTATGCAGCCAATTTACCTCCCAGGCTGGAAGCTAAACCGCAGCCAAATTGATGAACGGCTGGGTGGTCGCCGTTCGTATAGTCGACACGTGGCGGTGGCCATCTTGCTTAGTCAAACGTGTATTTTGTCGTCTAGTTCATGGAACTCAAATCAGACACACAATGGCACGAACACCGCTGAACTTTACCTTCTCCGAAACTTCGACTCTTCAACGGGAGTTGAACGGCTTTCGACAATTCGAACGGCACTTTGACATTGACGATAGACTGGCCGACTATTCGAACGGAACTTAGACATTGAAATTAGACTGGCCGCACAGCCTAATTCTCTGGAACTGTTTTGGGCATGAAAATGTGCGTGCGGTAGGTCAAAAGAGACTTCCAGGAATTTCCTGAACCCCTGCTCTGATCTGGGTGATTTTTGGATATGTTGTTCACCCAGATCAGGGATGTATATTTATGGGGATATGTTGGAGTTTTGGGGTGTTTCTGTACTTTGGGTAAAAATGTGCGTTTTCTGCCTGAGGATAATAAGTTAGTACATAGAATGTGACGGTAGATAAGAACCATTCGGCCCATCTAGTCTGCCCAATGTACATTATCTAGTACATTATCTACCTTAATTATATCACAGGCAGAGGGGAGGGCTTGCTGACTGTATGTGAGAGTGTTACAGTGATAATTATTGTTTCCATTGGTTTGTGTTCCTTGTGTCCCTGTTTTCCATCATGTCCAAGGGGTGTGCCTCTGGCCTGAAAAACTGTATATATTCCAAGCTGTGGCAATAAACCTGTTCTACTATACCCTCAATCTAGAGTCCTGTCTCTTATTGGGGGCGATCTGCTACAAGGGATTGTTATGCTCTTCATATTCCCTTTAATAATCACTAGCTCTTGTAAGAGCTTGTTCCTGTTCCTGATTCACTGTCTGGGGAAAGAGAGGTTCACCCACTGGAACCTGGAGCCTTGTCGTAGGTCCAGGGTGGGTAGGAGATGGCGAGACCCCAACCAAGCTGCAGTGGTTTGTGGGGTCTGCGGTGCTTATGGTGTAAAGTGGAGTGCTTGGAGCCTTCGGGGAGCACTAGGAGCATCCGTCAACGGAGGTACCCAGTTGGGGTGCCAGGCGATCCATTACAAACATCTGCAAACATACCACATGTTTATATTACAGAGGGAAGTAGCTGGTCCATTGATGCTGTATCTGATTCTGCATAGTTGTCACAACCTACCACCAGTGCCACCGCCTCCATTACTACCAGCATGGTAGCACCACCCTTAGGCAGAGCTGGGGGGAGTTTTAGGATAGTGCCAGTAGATCAAGAGAGGTTTGGTCCTCTCATCTGATGAATAAAAAAGAAAAACTGGAAAAAAAAGTTCCTCTTTGGAGAAACTTTAAATGATTCTTTCTCCCCTTTCGCTCACTTTCTATTTGATTTTTTATCCACACATAGAATAATCTGATTTTGGAAACTCAGAATTGGCATTACAAAAATGCCTGATATTGTGTAGCCATTAGGCCAGGCAATATTGCATGTCAGCACAGCCTTTGTCACTTTTATTTAGTGCACAGCAGTGAGCTGAAGAGTAATGGCAATGTTTCAAATATCATTTTAGTCTTTATCAAGTCATTTATCAAGGTAGTTTTGATTTTGAGAGAATGCTGCAGTTTTGTTCACTTACTGGATCCATTGTATTCGTGTGGTAAAACTGGAGGTCCATTGCACCTATCTACTACATAAGTGCTCTTCCATTGTTGAATTTTGTGGATAGGAGAGAGGTACTGAATGGAAGGTGACAGCTGGTACCATGGAGTTTGATTCCCATTAATCTTAGACAGACTGGATCATTTATATCCCAATGCTGCAGCACACGTATGTGGGCTTGTGTTTGTGCTTGAGTAAAGGCATGCACCTGCGTATGTGTGTGCCTCACTCCAACACTTGCCTTAAATTCAATTTAAAAAAAAATCACGTGATATCAACAATACAGTTGAGTGTACTCCTTGTTTACATAACTGTCCCATAATGCATGCAAACTTAAAAATTGTATATTTATACATGCAAGTTTATATATATATATATATATATTTTTTTTTTTTTGTGAACAACGTTAGCTTTTTATATGCAATGCTGCAATAATGTTATACATGTGCAATACTGCTACACAAAACAAAATAGCAGTACCCAGAGAACATATTCAAAATGTAAAATTTATGTGACTAAATTACCTAATACAATATTAAATAGACTGCTTTATAATTTGCAAACTCCAATGGATTTTTTGTGACATTGCCATTAACTAGCAGATGCAATCCTGAGTGGTTTATGGTGAAACTATTTAAATATCCCGTAGTTAGTATCTTTAAAAATTCAGTTATCTATCTTTTATTTTAATACTAGCATAAAATCAAATGGGATTACCACATAATTTTTGAAGACGGTAATTCCTATTCTGCTTTTCAGCATGCATTTTCTCTCACACCGTAAAATAGTTTTATGTGTAAAAGTCGTTAGCAACATATTACTTGAATAAGGTCATAAGATAATTATGAGTTCAAACTACTTAAAGGGATAGTGAACTATGTTTGGTTAAATAATCACTTTTCCATTGTATGTGAGTCACAGCCACCTCACTTGTTATTGAGTGTTCATTTAATTGAACACCAAACCAAACATTTAAATGCACATTTAAGGGATGGGGGGGCTTGGATATCGCCAAGAGCAGTCACATGTTTGCGGTGCTCCTGTCCAAAAACAGGAATTCTGCACAACATTTTGGCTCCTACGCCCTACAACACTATGGGAAACAAGCAAAGAAGCTCAAGGCCTACTCAGACGAAGGTACACAACAGATTGGAGGTATCTTCCCGGTTCGGCCTAAACTTAAAACGGCTGCGTGGCTGGACTCTCAAGACCCTTCCTTGGAAGATTAAATATTGGACTCCCCTGATCCTATCCTGAGGCAGAAGACCTGTTCTCGACTTCACAGCTGGGGGACCTGGGGGCTCCAGCCATCAAAGGTGACATACTAAGCCTCCTGAAACACTTACGCACCTGGTTCCGCACTGACATTGCGGTTCTTCGTGAAGAAATCACAGCTGTCACCGACAGGGTGAGGGCCACTGAAGAGGATGTCTCCTCCATGACCCAACATCAGGAAATAACGGAGCAAAAGCTCCAGCAGCTCCAGTCCTCACATCAGGCTATGCAAGTCAGAATGGACGTGCAAGGCGACGCAGCAACATCAAAATCAGAGGCATTGCTGAATCAGTCGATGATAAAGAGCTACTCCACTTTATCCAATGCCTCCTGTCTGCGATTCTGAACCACAAACAAGTGAAAGCCATAATAGTGGACAGAACATACAGGTTACCCAAGTCTCCTAGGGCCCCAGAGGAAGCCTCCCATGATGTGCTCCTCCATTTAAATCACTCTGAGATAAGCATTGATAGAGGCGCTTGCAAACAAAAGTCCTTTTATATTTGAGGATGTACAGCTCACCTTTTTGCAGGATCTCTGCAAGGCCACCATGGATTGGAGGCACTCAGTCCGGCAGGTTACAGAGATGCTCCAAGAGGCCAGAATCAAGTACAGCGCACTCTCCTGGTTACCCGTGGAGAAACCTCCTACCGACTCACATCGGCCGCAGACTTCAGCGCTTTCCTCCATAACCTGGGGCAGACTAAGTCCAAACCTGCCAACTACACTCCTGGATGTTCCTGGCATGTTTCTCATTTAGTCCCCTTTGTGCCCCGCTCTGCATCTGACACAGGATAAGGCCACAGCATGTTAAGTTCCTGGACTGAATTCTGCCTCCTCTCTGAGGGGTATTCTTGGGATATACTGTACCTTGTATTTAAGTTATTTTTACTTTTTAACACATGGTTTAGTTTATTTCCTCTATTTTTAAGCCTTTTTCTCACTAACCTAAATATATAAAAATCTTGCTCCAACTACTCATAATCCCTATGGCAATGAATTACTTGATATATGCTCTTTCTTATAATGTTTATTCTGGCTATTGTATTATTCTCTACATATTTGTAAGCTTGAAATATCAAAGTTGTATCAAGCCAAAAATAAAGAATAATAATAAAAACAAATAATAAATGCACATTTAAAAATCATGCAAGCAGCATGTACAAAATATATGTCAATAATATTGTGAAAATAAATACAAGAGGTAGATAAATCTAAACAAATATGCTGTGAAATTATACTTTTTATATCTTTTAGAATGAAGGTTGTACCTGGTGTTGCCGACTAATACTTTCACGTAAATGCTGAAATGCTGAAACTAAAAAGTTGAGAGCTTTTCAAGACATTTGACATTATCTTTGTAATGCATGTTTCTTGCATTTATATAGTTAAATTTTTTAGCTAAACGCTACATTTCAGCCTCTCCTGTGTCAAGGCTTTGTTTTATGACTATAAAATCATTACAAACATTTGAAAGGCCAGCTATAGAAAGTTCAATTGACATAAATGTGTAAGAAGGTTGTAATATTGATGCATTATAAGTGTAATGCCAATAATTGACTAAAGTGTGGAATGTGTAAAATGCAATATTTAATAAAGGTTTGTGTGTGTTCCTTTGTACACTTATTAGCAATATAAATGTCAGCTAGAAGGCTACATTTGTAACTACCCAGATAAATATGGTCCTCAATATAATAAGATTTATTTTTCAAAGGAAACAAAAATTCGTCTGGTATGCATTATTGAATTTTTTCTATTTATTTTTTAAAAAGTTCAATATGTGGTTCCTGGCATTGCAGGTGTATTGATAAAGTAGCAACAGCAACTATCAAAGCATGTCTACATTCGACCATTTGAAAATCAACATTAGAAAAATGGTAATAGTTATATATTTATTAAAACTTCTTCAAAGCAATACTTGTGTTACATACTGGAACAAAGAAAGCAAATAAGTTATATGTAATGGAATAATTTATAATGTATGTGTCAATAACAAGAATGTAATATAAGGACGTATGTACACTAGGAGAAAAGAAGTCTACTGCTGGCAAACTAGAAATGGGATTAGAATACTTGTTATTGTATTGACCCAACACTTTCTGGAGGGACAATCCACGCTGGAATCAACTTATACATTTTAATTTATTATTGACATATCATTTTTATGATGCATTAAAATATATATGAGAAAAATAGTTAAGTATAAAATATAATCATATTTAAAAGTCATTGTATTTAAGGTAAATATCCAACAACCACATTTTTTTTCACTGAGCTTCTACTGAACAGGTAATATTTCAATTAATCTTTGTGCTCCCTTATCTATTACAGCAAAGTTAAATATATCCCATACATTCCTGGACAGCTGAGGTTCGTGGGAATTGAACTTCAGATGCCTGCTGTCATGTTGTAGGTTCTATTGAGTGGACTTACATTGCAGAGATGAACCTGTCCTCTAGAATCACTTGTGATGTTTTCTACCATTTACTTGTTTATCCCCTCAGGTTTCTCCTTGTGTAAATTGTAGTCACTTGACTTTTTCCTTTTTCTTTTATACACTGTTCACTGACTAATGAATACACTGGGCACCAGAGACAGGATGCCTGTGGGACAGAACCCATAAATTATTCAATGCAAAAAGATTAATAGTTCTTTAAATGAAGGTGTTTCTGTCAACATCTGTAAAGGAAAATAATTGCTGGATCCTTTAAGAGGCAACAGTCAGCTCAGAGTGAGAATAGTAGAATTTATATAAAGCAAATAAAATGTGGTGGTGAGTGATTGGAATGGTAAGTGACTCCTAGAGTAAGCTAGGTAGTGTATTGGGGGTCAGTGCTCCCAAATGCCTCATCTTCGAATGTAGAGTTACTTTGTTCACAACTCATGTGGATTATCTTTACAATCAGTTACACAGCTAGATTAGTAAAAATGTGCATTGCTGTAATGTAATGAACCCATATCACTTTCACCAGCCCCATACAGCTACTTTTCACTTGTATTGCACCATGTCAAATATTCCTGTCACGGCACAGGCTGAGCACTGCAGACAGCAAGGTGTGGCCACCCCTTTAAGAGACTTGGCTGGATTTGAACTAAGATCTCCAGCATCCTAGTCAGGTTCTCTGCCATGATATCCACCAGGGGGCTTCAGTTTCTGTTTGTATTCTTTCTGCTTCCTGACCCTTTGCATGGATTAAGCAGCACTGATCCACCTGCAACCCTTTTCCAATTGGGGTCAGCTGCATCTAATGAGTAGGCTGTAAAAGCCAGCCCTGCCTGAAAGCTAGTATCTGGTCATTTTGCCTGTTTGGTGTTTCCTGCCAGAGCTCTGCTTCGCTACTGACTGATTTCCTGGACTCTGACCTCTGCCTGTTTTACCAACTACGTTACTCCGCTGCAAGCCCTGACTTCAGCTTCTCGTCTGACCCTGCCTTTGGATTTCCCCATAATCTGTACTGCACTTTTGGTTTTTGCCTCCTTCCTGTGCCATCTCCTGCAACTGGGCTCCAACTCCTGGTAAACTGTTAAATAATGATCAGATCAACTACCATGGAGCCCGCGGAGATGATGAATGTCCTGAGTACCCTCACACAGCAAGTGACCCTCCTGTCCCAAACCGTAAGTGAATTGCAGCGTGATTTTGCTGAGTTAAAGGGGAACACACACCATGCTCCTGAACCTGATATTGCATTACCTAACAAGTTCACTGGGAAAAGGATTGAACTGTGATCATTTATCACAGCCTGCAAATTACTCTTCACTTTTAACCCACGCACACACCCCAATGATTATGTGAAGGTTCGCACTACTATTGCCCTACTGTCGGGTAAACTCCAAACCTAGGCACACCAACTCCTGCACTCAAACAGTCCAATACTGGACTCATGGGACTCCTTTGCTGCAGCAATGCATACATTATGCAATGACACCCTGAGACCCTCTGCTGTACGCACTGCCCTGCGTTCCATTCGGCAAGGGAGAAGACCAGTGGAGGAGTATACTACAGATTTCCGGGAGCTAGCTGCTGATACCAGTTAAAATGAGACTGGTCTAATAGAGCAATACAGATTGGGTCTGTCTGAGGCATTAAAAGTTGAACTAGCCAGAGTTGGGGTACCCACTTCATTGGAAGATCTGTTCCTTCTGGTCACCCAGCTAGATTGCCGGTTCAGAGAAAGAAAGCAGAAGCAATTTAAAAAAAAAACAGCTTTTTGCCCCATCAACGTTTCAAACCTGCTGGTGAGACCTATACCCCTATCCCCACCATGGCCATAGAGGAACCCATGCAAATTGGAACACTGAATACCATGCTCACAGTAAATGGAAAAAGCCAGAAGGAGAGCCAAAGGCCTTTGCTTCTTTTGTGGCAAGGGAGGCCACTACATCAGCTATTGCCCGATACGTCCTCCTCACCCTAAACATAGCCATGTGGGGGCTCCATGTCACCATCCAGCAAGTCCTCCATGGCAGCCTATGAAACACCTTTTGTTGCTGTGGTACAACCCTGCATGCTAATGGACCAAAAAGACCACCTAACCAGACCAATGGCACCATCGCAGCCCTGGCTAACCCTGCTCCTGTTCCAGAGCCTCAAAAGGAGGCTGCTGTGGCTTCCTTCCAATCCTCAGCTTCTGTTTCCCCTAATGTTTCCTGCTCTAACACAGAGGATCTGTCCTTACTGTGTAATTGCCTCCAATGGAACTGTGGTTTGCAGGCAAGATCTAAAGGTCTTTGAGCAGGCTCTTAAAGCCAGAGCTGCATCCCCTTCTTACCTCCACTGAATAACAACCTGCAAAATGTTCTAACCCTCTCAGATCCTGATGATTCAGATGCCCATACAGACCTGGATTCCCTCTCTGAGTCTGAACTGGATTCTGTAGCTGAAGCCCTGTCTGTTGGCGCCCAGAGGTTGCCCCTTGTGGGGGGGGAGGCTCTGTCACAGCACAGCCCAAGCCCTGCAGACAGCAAGGCATGGCCACCTCTTTTAAGAGACCTGGCTGGGTTTCAACTCACAGCTTCAGCATCCCAGTCAGGTTCTCTGCCATGACATCCACCAGTATTTTTTTCTGCTTCCTGACCCTTTGCATGGATTAAGCAGCACTGATCCAACTGCAATGCTTTTACAAGTGGGGTCAGCTGCATCTAATTAGCAGGCTGTAAAAGCCAGCCCTGCCTGAAAGCTAACATCTGGTCATTTGGCTGCTTGGTGTTTCCTGCTGGATCTCTGCTTCGCTACTGACTGATTTCCTGGACTCTGACCTCTGCCTGCTTTACCGACTACGTTACTCTGCTGCCAGCCCTGACTTCTGCTTCTTGTTTGACCCTGCCTTTGGATTTCCCCTTAAT